TGCCAGTGGTTTCCCCCACCCACCACTCATCGTGAAAACCAAAAATGTCCCCACATATTTCTGAACACCATGGGGAGGCAGAACGGCCCTCGTGGAGAATCATGTTCTGCACTGCGAATGTCTCTGGCTAGTCCTGCACGCCACTTTGTCATCTTTGTCCTCACTGCTCCAGCACAGGCTCCAGCCCTGTGGTTAGAATCACAAACCCTTAAAAAGGCAATCTTCGAAAAACACTTCAAAGACACTGATCTGGACACGTAAACTCTCTCCTCAAGAGTAGGAATACTATGAATTCCTTCTCTACACTTATTATTATTAGAAAAAGCAAGAATTAGATAATATGTTCAGTTTTTCATCAGCAACATGTATTTTAATTGATGACAGCAGTATCAGGAGAATGTGTATAAAAATAAAAGACAAGTGCTCGCTTTGGCAGCACATATACTAAAATTGGAACGATACAGAGAAGATTAGCATGGCCTCTACACAAGGATGACACGCAAATTCGTGAAACAGTCCATAAAAAAAATAAAATAAAATAAAAAATAAAAGACAGACAATTCCTTTGACCTATGGCCACACACAGTTTGTTCTTTTATGGCAATTCACTTAGATTTTAAATACAGTTTTAAAAAATATATAATGTTTAAAACCAAAGGAATTATCTAGGTTCATATACTAGGTCAGTCTGTCAACATTTTAATTTTATATGCAAATTATTATTTATTTTGCTTATAATTTTATGTATTTGGTAAATAATACATTCTATCAACATAATTGCTAAAGAACTATTAAGACTTCCTTACACCTCTGACAAAATGAAACAAAGTTCTGACTAGCAACAGATAACCTTTTCTAAGCTCTGATTGCACTGAAGCCAGAGAGGATGTGAACCTACCAATCATACCATGGAATTCCTTGGAGGGCTCACATCAGATCCAATTATCCTAAAAATTCTAACAGATCAAGAACATAGGCAATGGTACAATTTTTATTTATTTATTTTTTATCATCCTCACACGAGGACATTTTCCATTTTTTGTTCAGGTAGAGTGGGAGGGAGAGAGAAGAATAGAGAGAGAGAGAATCATGGATGTGAAAGGGACACATTGAGTGGTCGCCACCCGCCCAACCAACCAGAGCTGGGGACAAACTGCAACCGAGGTACATGCCCTTAGTGGGAACTGAACCCAGGTCTCTCCGGACCGCAGGCCAATGCTCTAACCGCTGAACCAAACCGGCCAGGCCAGCAATAGTACAATTTTAAGAAAATCTAAAACATCATGTGGTTAAAATCATAAAATAACCAATATCAAGTAAGGCGACCAATACACTATATTATAGATTTATAAGTTCTATTTGCTTTCGTAAGATTAGCAGTATTAAATATACAGAAGTATAAAAATACAATCTACTAAATCAATGTTTAGTATGCTACTAGTTATAAACTCCAGCTGTGGAATATCACCATAGTAACAGGAATATACAAATAGCTCAGTCCCTTATGATATGATAGAAGCATTACTAATTTTCTTGAAATTTTAGTTATTGATTTTAGAGAGAAGAAATGAAAGAGAAGGAAAGGGAAAGAGAGAATCATCTATTTGTTGTTCTATTTATTCATGTTTTCATTGGTTGCTTCTTGTATGTGCCTTGACAGGGGATTGAATCCAAAGTTTTGGTGCATTGGGACAATGCTCTAATCAACTGAGCTGCTCAGCCAGGGCAAAGCATTGCTAATTTAAAGAATGCAATACGCTTAAGATAGGTAGAAAGATTCCACAACATAGTCATCAACCTGTTCATAAAAGAAGAGAAATATGAAATGAGTTTTTGAAAAAGCAGATAAAAAACTGATTCATTCTGTTGGACAATGACTGATAGTTACTCTTGGAATTGGGAAAATGACATGGTTTTGAAATGAATGAATAAATGAATGAGGCAACAGAATGATTAGAAAAAACAGAGAGGAGGAAAATTCTGGTAGAACTATGTCAAAATGACCGTGTGATATCTGTTTATAATCTCAGCTGTAAGACAAGACAGAACTAGATAAAAACTATAATTTGATGTATTGTACATATATATTCAGTCTTCAAATTGGAACAAAGGTAAGATCACCAAAGAACTGCTCTCAAAGAACATGTGAGCATGCACATGCATTTATTATTTCACTTAGTAAATATTCACTGAATGTGCACAGATGCCTGGGAACACAAAGATAGCAAGACACTGGCCCTAGCCTTAAGAATTGATAGTCTAATAGAGAAGACAGTCCTCTAAATAAAGCATTAACAATTTAGTGTTAACTACTGAAACAGAAGTTATATAGAGAGTGTTATGGGAACATAAAGGCAGCAATATTTTTGCCAGTTATTCAGAAAGAACTGATGCTTACATCTACACAAAAATTTAGGTTTTACTAAGTGGCAGGATTTCATGAAATAATACAAAATACACAATCTGCTTAATTGACTAGAGGCATATCAGTGCACATAAAAACATTTCATTAAAATGTGATTCCTCAACTTAAAAACAAATAATTACAAGTTCTTTAAATTGCTCCAATATCTGACTGCCACAGGAACGCATAGAAATAACTGCCTGTAGTGAAAGCTTTATTAAATACTACTGACTGCCAAATAAGCCACTGAAGGACTTTTGGGACCATAATGTCTGAAAGTCCCATTCTCTTTCACAGACTAAAGAGGAAATTAAGGTAAAAACTCATAGCTCCCATGACAGGAAGTTCATGGGTGTGCCAGGGAGAACATGCATGGCTGTGACAGGGGTAAGAAAATCAGGGAAAACCACTGAGCCACCTTCAAGCACTCGGTTCACTTCACATTACCAGTGGTTCCGTTCATCTGTTAGGGCCACTACTGAAACAGTGCTCAAGCTTCAACTTACTTCCGTGGGAAATAGGCCAAGACTGCAACTTCACCCCAAATCACAAATGGCAAATACTGTGTCCCCCTAAGCAATAAAAGCTACAAAATTCTTCTTCCTCTTCTTCTTCTTTTTTTTTTAAATATGCCTTTATTGATTTTTGTAGAAAGATTGGAAGGGAGACAGAGAGAGAAACATTGATGTGAGAGAAACACTGACCAGCTGCCTCCTGCACACCCCCTACTGGGGATCCAGTCCATAACCCGGGCATGTGCCCTGCTGGTGAATCCAACCAGGACCTGTCATCCATGGGATGAGGCTCAATCCACTGAGCTACACCAGGCGGGCAAGGATACAAAATTCTTAAAAGAATTACTCTTAAGACCGAACACCCCGCCTCCCCTGACATGAATCACTGAAAGAAGAAATTTCATTTAGTAAAGAAAATTGAAATGCCTTTTACTAGCTAGAAACATTGCCATCTAAGTCACCTGAACTACTTGAGCTGTTGTATGCTTTTCAAACACATTTTAGCCATTCCCTATCCCCATGCATTCATAAACAATCACGAAATGGTTACAGTGCCCTAGACCTCGGGAATGCAATCTTCTTCTTAAGGGCTGGATAGTAAATACTTTAGGATTTGCAAGACAAGATGCAAAGTCAAGGAAATTATATGGGTACACATAAAATCATTTAAATATGTAAATTTTAAAATGTAAAATCATTCTTAGCTCACAGAAAAACAAACAAAAACAGGCCGTTTGTTTATTCCAGTGCTAGATCATAGTGAGATCTCCAGACAAAGCTAAGACCACTAAATTATTAAATTTAAATGAAAGATCTTTTACACCAAGACCTACCTCCTTCATAGAGCCTGTAAAAATGATCTAATAAGACTCTGCTCTAACATAATTATCTGCTGGATAATGGATACTTCTTTATATCTACCTTCATTAGATATTTCCATACCCATAGAAAATGTTCTGTATCTGTCAAGTGTAATATGGTGGCCACGAAACAAGTGGCTATTGAACACTTGAAATATGTTAGGTGTGTCTGAGGAATTAAATTGTAAAGTTTTACTAAATATTAATTATTTTAAATTTACATTTGAATAGCCACATATGTTCACTGCACCTAGTGACTTCCTACCAGATAGATTCATATGGCAAATATATCTGATGCCATTACACATATCATCACTCCACCTAGATAGCAAATAGGTGTCATGTTGCATGCCAAGTCCTAATGAATTGCAGTGGAGGCTCCACAGGGCTGTGCAGGCCAAGTGTGAACACAGTGGGGATGAGTGCCATGATTGCTTAGCCATGCTGGCCACGGGGGGCGGGGGGGATCTTCATATGGTATTTGCAGGCCCTTTCAGACCATTCATTGCCATTTCGCTGACACTGGGAACACATGAGTTCTGAGTATAATCTGAATTTCATATAACTTACTATACAGAGAATAGCTTGATAGCTAGAGCCTAGCTCTCTTAATTGTTATATTTCTGGTTTGTAAATTACTCAATTGGGATTCTGGTTCCTTGACTAGTCTCTTGTGAGCTTGGTTACATAAACACACACTGGGCAGTAATGTCCATTCTCAGTGAACTGACACAGTCAATACTGTGAGTCTGGTCTACTGATAAGCAAACCAGATTATGGTAAATGCACAAAGGTAAATCCTATGGGACCTCTTAGTAGCCAAATGAAGGTTGGCTTTCCTGGGAAGAAAATAACTTTATCAGACACTTTCAGACTTCAACAAAGACTATTTTAAATCAGTTTCACCATTTCCAATTTTAGTAATTTTCTCTCTTAAAGATTTCTTCAGAGGTCTGCTACTGCCAGTCTTAGATAATGTATAGTTCTATATGAAAGCTCTCACCATCTCTCATTTTGAAAACAGCAAGAGTTTACTTTGAGTCTACAGTTCTTTCGCAGTCTATGAATTCATCACCCTGTCAACATTACTTCTATCTTCACCTTCCTTTTGGTACCTGAATCTCGTTCCAAAACACACTCAGTCATACCCCATTTGTGACAGCATCATTTCTTTTTCATGCCCACACACCACCCTAATTAAACCTATGCTTTTACTTTTACCTTTCGAACATTTGCCAACCGATTCATCATCAAGGACTCCTCTCGGTCATCATCGTCATCCAAGTCCAGCATCGGCATTCCAAAGGGGTCAATGATGCTACAGCACCTGGAGCCTTCATCTCTTGGATCAAAGGGGTCCACAATGATGGGCTCCGTTCCTTTTATTTCACAGCGACAGAAGGGGCAGCCCTGGCCATCTGACTCCTGAACAGACAGACAAAAGATGTGCTGATTGGTCTTTGTTCCAATAAAAATAGTACTGGGAAGGGCCAAAGTTTTATAAGTATAAAACAAAGTTGCAGAAAGGAGGTTTTAGGTTAGTCATGGGAGTGGGGGAAGGTCTGTCTTGAAGAGGCAGTGGAGTAGAACAGAAAGCCAAAAATATAGTAAATGATCAGTATTTCAAATTTCAATTTTTTAAAATTTCTTTTTAAAAAGTTTGATTTGCCAAAGAAAATAAGCCTAACCTGATTTTCCTGAAGGTTCACTTATAATTTTAATGTATCAAAACTTGAGTCCTGCAGAAAGAATCTGAATCATGTCTGCTCCTCTTTACCAAATGCACCTATACTAATTGAACATTTTATAAAAGGAACATTTTAACAAAAAGTCATTATAAATAAAGTCACAGCAAGAATCAGAACAATCCATTTTAAAATCCATTCTGAAAAAGTTCCTGTGCATAAGACTATATCTAAATATTACCATTCTACATAAACAAAATGAAAGATAAAAATCATATGATCATATCAATAGATGCTGAAAAAGCATTCAAAAAAATCCAGCATCAATTTCTGATAAAAACGCTCAGCAATCTGGAAATAGAGGGATCATATCTCGACATAATAAAGGCCATAGATGAAAGACCTACAGCCAACATCATACTCAATAGGCAAAAATTAAAAGCATTTCCCTTAAGAACAGGAACAAGACAAGGATGCCCACTTTCGCCACTCTTATTTAACATAGTACTGGAAGTCTTGGCCACAGCAATCAGACAGGAAGAAAAAATAAAAGGGATCCAAACGGGAAAGGAGGAAGTGAAACTCTCATTATTTGCAGATGACATGATACTATACATAAAAAACCCCAAAGACTCCATCAATAATTTACTAGACTTAATAAATGAATTTGACAAAGTAGCAGGGTACAAAATTAACATCAAGAAATCAGCGGCATTCTTATACACCAATGATGAACTCACAGAAAGAGAAACTAAGCAAAAAATCCCACTTACCATCGCAGCAAAAAAATTAAGATACCTAGGAATAAACTTAATCAAAGAAATAAAGGACCTATTTGCAGAAAACTACAGGTTATTGAAAAAAGAAATAGGGGAAGATATAAAAAAGTGGAAGCACATAACTTGTTCATGGATTGGAAGAATTAACATCATTAAAATGTCCATACTACCCAAAGCAATCTGTAGATTTAATGCAATCCCCATCAAAATACCAACGACATACTTTACAGAACTAAAACAAATACTTCAGAAGTTCACATGGAACCAAAAAAAACCTCAAATAGCCACAGCAATCTTGAACAAAAAGAACAAAGTTAGAGGGATCACATTACCAGATTTCAGGCTATACTACAAAGCCACCGTAATCAAAACAGCCTGGTACTGGAACAAGAACAGGCATATATTCCAGTGGAACAGAACAGAGAACCCAGAAATGGACCCAAGACATTATGCTCAATTAATATTTGACAAAGGTGGCAAGAGCATACAGTGAGTCAAGACAGCCTCTTTAATAAATGGTGTTGGGAAAATTGGACAGCTACATGCAAAACAATGAAACTAGACCATCGACTTACACCATACAGAAGAATAAACTCAAAATAAATAAAAAACTTAAATGTAACTCATGAATCCCTAAAAATCCTAGAAGAAAATGTAGGCAACAAAATTTCAGACATCATACGCTGCAGAATTTTCACTGATACTTCACCTAAGGCAACAGAAACAAAGGAGAAAATGAACACATGGGACTACATCAAACTAAAAAGCTTCTGCACAGCAAAAGATACAATCATCAAAATGGAAAGGCAACCCACTCTATGGGAGAGCATAATTGCCAATGATACATCAGATAAGGGGTTAATTTCCAATATATATAGAGTGCTCATACAACTCAACAAAAGGAAGACAAAGAACCCAATTAAAAAATGGGCAGAGGAACTAAATAGACACCTCTCCAAACAGGACATACAAATCGCTAAGAGACAATATGAAGAAATGCTCAACATCACTAAACATCAGAGAGATGCAAATTAAAACAACAATAAGGTTATCACCTCACACCTGTTAGAATGGCCACCATCAACAAATCATCAAACAACAAGTGTTGGCGAGGATGTGGAGAGAGGGTACTCTAGTGCACTGCTTTTGGGAATGCAGACTGGTGCAGCCACTATGAAAAACAATAAGGTGTTACCTCAAAAAATTAAAAATAGAACTTCCATTTGACTCAGTGATCCTGCTTCTAGGAATATACCCTAAGAAGCCTGAAACACCAATCAGAAAGAATATATGTACCCCCATGTTTGTAGCAGCACTATTCACAATAGCTAAGATCTGGAAACAGCCCAAATGTCCATCAGTAGACGAATGGATAAAAAAGCTGTGCTACATATACACAATGGAGTACTATGCAGCTATAAGAAAGAAAGATCTCTTATCCTTTGAGACGACATGGAGGGACCTAGAAAGTATTATCCTAAGCGAAACAAGCCAAACAAAGACAAGTATCATATGATCTCACTTATGTGTAGAATATAATGAACATAACAGTCTGAGGAATGGGATAGTTCCAGAGACGTGGAAGTGGGGTAGAGACTGACAATCCCCAGAAGAGAGGGTGGTGGGGGAGAAATAAATCACAGAAATTATATGCATGTGTGCATGAACAATGGACATAGACAACAAAGCTGGGGACAGGGCAGGGAAGGAGGGAGAGGGAGGAATCAGTGGGGGGAAAAGGAGAAACATCTGTAACAAAAATAAATTAATTAAAAAATAAATAAATAAATAAATATTGCCATTCTAATTGCCTCGGCCTTTTACAATCTTCATTTATAAGTAATCAGACAGAGAAAGATAAAGTGAATCTATAATCAGAAGCCATAATCTGTCCCAGGAGCCTGCATCCCAACAAAGCCATGGGGATATAACACGATGTGCCATAGTAAGCTTCGCCCTTCTTTCAAACTAGATACTACAAAAAGGTTTGTACAAATACTTTTGGGACAAAAATTTATTTATTGGAAATTATTAAAGGTTTTATTCAAAGCCTCCCAATTCCATTTCTCAAAACTAACAACCACAGGAGTTCACAATTGCCAGGAAAATAGGACAAGACTGTTTTCTTGCCCTGTTGATAATGCTGCCTTATAAAGGTAGATGGTATACCATATCCACCACCATATTTTTGTTTCTGCATTATACCCTGACTTTAGTAGTGTGTCATTTAGAAAACAGTAAAAATCATAAAGTCATTTACAAGCAGAAATGGGATGAATAAGAACCATTTTAGAGATGAGCTAAGAAATGCAAAGGAAACTGACATCTCTAAAGAAAGCATTCAGCCCTCCCTAGTTTGGCTCAGCAGTTAAGAGTGTCCGCCTGCCCACGGACCAAAGAGTCATGGGTTCAAGTCAGGTCAAGGGCACGTACCTCAGTTGTGGTTTGGCCCCCCAACCCTGGTCGGGGTCCTGCGGGAGGCAACCAATCAATGTGTCTCTCTCACATCGATGTTTTTCTTTCACTCTCTCCCCCTCCCTCCCTCTCTCCCTCCTTCCTTCCCACTATCTGAACAGAAATGGAAAAATATCCTCAGCTGAGGAAAAAAACAAAAACCATTCACTACCTAACTCAAGACTGCCCATCCACTGCCCACCCTCGTGGCATGACGGAAACCTGTCCTGCAGTGACATAGTGATCAGCAGCGGAGTAACACTCTCACTCTGCTGTCCTGGGACAATCACTGAGCAACGCCACCGTGGAAGATCCTGTGGTAGGTAGTTTATTCTTACCCAAGTGTTACTCAGATGAACAAACTGAACATCTACACTGCCACAGAAATTGTCAAACAAAGGAAAATAAACAGGCTTTGGGTTGGTTAATGAAAAGAATTTACAACATTCCCTTTTTTATCTGCTGTTACATAATTTGGAAAAGAAAACTGAAATGGTAAAATAGCTGAACTAAAGTGGTAAAAAAAATAGACATGCTAATACAAAATCCTTAGATGTTTACTGCCACACGTGTTCAGGTCTGGTGGATTTCAAGGCAACTTAAATACTATTTGCTCCACATTTTACGAATGATAAAACTGAGACTTAATTCTTCTATCTTATATTGATATTTTCTAATGCAGGAGTAAATATTTAAGCAAAACTAAACCTTCTTTCAATAACAAGAACATTAAATTTAAGTGCATATTCGATATATGTTGTCATCCAGGTAAAATCTCCTTACTATAAAAATCAAAAGAGATCCATACTGTGTGCCATTACTGGAATCTTTTTACAGATCTGCATGGGGAACTTTTGAAAATGCAGTCCTAATATATAAGAACAAGATGTGAAAGAGCTGATGTTCCCTGAGTCTTTACTGTATGGGCAGAAAGCGATACTCTTACTATTAAAAATTAGTCCACTCAATCTAAAACATTAAAGCATACAATTTTTTAGTGTACTGCCTAGAACATGTGAGCCACTGTGTTTGGCTACAGAGGCTTCTTCAAGGTCAATTTATACATTGTTTGGTTAAGGATGACTTCCAGTTTAGGTCATCTGCTTCCTAATAAAGGGTAACTACAAAGATTCCATTTGGAAACAGAAAGAGGTGAAAGACAATAACAACATTCTGGTGGTATAAGAAGATTGGGAACAGTTCATCTAAAACCCAGTCTGGATTTTACTCCATCTCTCCTGTCTGAAATGCTATACAAATCACTGATATGTGTTAGAGTAGCTGTTTTATGAATATATCACAAAAGATCTTTTCTTTTCAGCTTTATCTTAGTTGAGTTTGTATTACTAGATTAAAAAAACAGCTACAATGTACATCCTTTTTGATTTGCAAACAGGTCATGCTAAATGTGTCTTGGTGGTATTTACTGTAATAGGACTTCACCCATCACTCTCTCTCTGTAAACTGACTTCTGTCATATGCAAATTAGGTTTAACCATAAATTCTC